GGACTACAGGCGCCCGCCACCATGCTTGGCTAATTTTTGTATTTTTATAGAGATGGAGTTTCACCATGTTGGCCAGGATGATCTCTATCTCTTGACCTCGTGATCCACCCGCCTCAGACTCCCAAAATGCCAGGATTACAGGTGTGAGCCCCTGCACCCAGCCCGATTTTCGTATTTTTAATAGAAATGGGGTTTCACCATGTTATCCAGGCTGGTCCTGAACTCCTGGCCTCAGGTGATCCACCTGCCTCGGCCTCCCAAAGTGCTGGGATTACAGGTGTGAGCCACCGAGCCTGGTCCACAATCATTATTGTACCAATATTTATAGAGTATCCTAGGAATTCGTATCTCTGCTTTAAGAGAGGGGCACTAAGGCTGAAAGACACACAACCCAGATTTTCTGACCCCAAAATACATCACAATTGTATGGTCTCTCCACTCCCTCATCATGGCTTTCTATCTACTATTAATATTGAGTTCCAGGTCAGGATGCATTTTAGAATCTATCAAAAAGTTAATGTAGACTTTAGGTTTAATCAATAACTTTTTATGAACTTATAGCACAAATAAGTTTTGAGCTTATCATTTCCTGTGAAAACCTGCTTGACATCTTAGCCATTGATTATGTTTCTTTGCTTTATCCGGACAGATACAGTCTCAGGAAAAGTAGGTTCCTACTATTGAGTTGTACTGATCCCACTCACTTTGTAAGCATTGCTTTCTCGCACTGGGGCCGAGCACTCACAGAGCCCTGTCCCCTCTGTCATGTCACTCTACAGATGCGCCAAAGTGAGTCCTTCCATCACATCTCATTCTGCGTAAAGGGCCCCTCCTAAGTACCAAATCCTTGAAAGAAAAGAGGCAGACTCTCCTCCTCGCTGTCACTCCCTTATTCAAAGAAAATACCTGAAACCTGAGGGGTGGAAAAGTGAGATAAGAAAAAGAGAATATTGGCCAGGCACGGTGGCTCATGCCTGTAATCTCAACATTTTGGGAGGCCGAGGTGGGTGGATCACCTGAGGTCAGGAGTTCAAGACCAGCCTGACCAACATGGTGAAACTCTGTTTCTACTAAAAATACAAAATTAGCCAGGCATGATGGAACATGCCTGTAATCTCACCTACTTGGAAAACTGAGGCAGGAGAATCACTTGAACCCAGGAGGCAGAGGTTGCAGTGAGTCGAGATTGCACCATTGCACTCCAGCCCGGGCAACAAGAGCAAAACTCCATCCCAAAAAAACAAAAACACCAACCAACCAACCAATCAACCAACAAAAAAACGAAGAGAAAGAGAATACTGGATGGGCACAGTGGCTCACACCTGTAATCTTAGCACTCTGGGAGGCCAAGGTGAGAAGATCGCTTGAGCCCAGGAGTTCAAGACCAGTCTGGGCAACATAGCAAGACCCCGTCTCTACAATAAATTTTAAAATTAGCCAAGTGTGGTGGCGTGCACCCGTGGTCCCAGTTACTTGGGAGGCTGAGGTGGGAGGATCGCTTGAGCTCTAGAAGTTGAGGCTGCAGTGAGCCATGATCACACCACTACACTCCATTGTGGATGTCAGAGCAAAACCCTATCTCAAAAAAAGTGTTTTAATAAAAAAAGAAAAAGACAATATTTCCCAAGCTTTTTATAACATTAAATCATGGTGTATCTCATCTCTGCCAATTTACATGCAATCAGCCTTTGGAATCATGCTTTAAATACCAAGGGTTGGAATGGAGACCTTTGCAAATGATGGTATTGTGTGATATAGGTGGGTCCCATTCTCATTGCCAGAAAGAAAAGGGGAGGACAAAGGTCAGACTTGGAATATTTTATTTAAAAATGTATTTTTTAAAACACAGGCTACTTGACTGATGGGGGTGGGGCTGCAGGCTACATGAGGTCGGATGTGGCAAAGCCATTCAGTCAAGCTGCTCTGGGAGGAAGTGGGGCAGGGTGGTTTTGAGCAGAGCTTTGGAGTCACACAGACCTACTTGAGACTCCTGGGGCAGCCACTCACCTGCTGCACAGGCTTGGCCTTGTCACATCAACATGCTGAGCCTCAGTTTCCTCATGTAAGATGGGACTCAGTATAATGTGGGCCTACACACATGTGGCAAAAGAGTGCTTCACACGGTGGCTGGCACAGCACATCTGAAGCACTGAACAAACTTAATCAGGATGCTTCTAGATTTCTTGTTACCACACTGGATTCTGCTGCCCAGTTAACTAGTCAGTGTAAAGTAGGACAGAATAGAATTGCTATGGATGGAAAGTTTGTGTCCCCACAATCTCGAAATATTGAGGCCTAATCCCCAATGTGATGGCATTTGAAGGTGAGGACTTTGGGAAGTATTAGATCATGAGGGTTGAGCCCTCATGAATGGGATTAGTGTCCTTAGAAGATGAAACACCAGAAAGATGATCTCGTGCTCTACCATGTGAGAACACAGCAAGAAGACAGCCATTGCAAACCAGGCAGAGGGGTCTCACCAGAACCCAACCATGCTGTCCCTGGCCTTGGACTCCCCAGCCTCCAGAACTGTGAGAGATAAATTTCTGTTGTTGAGTCCCCCTAGTCTATGGTTTTCCACTATACAGCCCAGACTGACAGAGGCAAGAATGAATTACCCAACCATGAATTAACTCTTTAATGTCATCAAGAACATATTTAATGTTGCTACTTGGAATAGTTAAGAATCGATATGCAATAGTTTACAGAAAGGTACCACAAATTTTGAAGTATAAGAAACCTGTGTCTGCATCTAGGCAGGCAAAAGTAAGTATGTGCTCATGTAGAACACACAACACATGGATTCTACCCAGATGACCTGTTTTTCTTCTTACCCCTGCCAGGCTAGTGAGGGTCTGCTTCCTTTCTATAACCACTGTGCGGCACAGAAGCCCAATTACTGTCTTTCTTTCCAATTTAGTTCAACACAACTTTAGCTCTATTGCCTTCCCTGTGCTGAGCCCTGGGGACACTGAGGAGACCAGGAGGCAGTGCTGCCTTCAAGAACAGCAGTCTAGCAGGAAGAAAGACACTTATTGGCTCCATTTCTGCCAGCTTCCGCCACTGGAAAGGGTTTACACATAGATTCCTGGCCTCAGGTGTGAGGCTTCCCAGAGGGAGCTGTGAAGTTTGGCTCCTGCCAACAGGTGGAGGTCTCACCTGTGTGTCCTTGGCCACGTGACAGCAAAGCCATTTGACTGTGCCATCTCTGGCCTTCCCTTCCTGCTCTGCTGCCACCATGGAACCACCTCCTCTTCCCTTACTTAGGATCATGTATGGTGGCCCTTCCCACTTTCAGATACCCACCCCTGACTCTCTTCAACAAGAGAAAAAGAAAAGCCTTGGGGACAGCCCACTGCAGTGAATAGAAATTCCTTCCCACTGACATGTTAAATACCTCTCACCACAACGGCTGGCCCTGAACACCTGCATTTCATGATTTAAGACTGTGCGTTGAGAGAGAAGAGAATCCCAGGGATATCAGAGGATATGAGATCCCTTTCCCTCCCCTGCTCGGTCATCTTTCAAGCCCCCCTCCCCGCCCTGAGCTGAGAACTAGAGACAGGGCTCTCGAATCAAGGGAGGCAGGTGACTCAGAGGTGAGTACAAGCCACGGCCTGGAGTGCTGAGAAGTCTGGATGAAGGCAACTGTGTCAGCCCCAGGGAACCGAGGCAATCCTCCCACCGGAGATTAAGACCCCAGTCTCAGGCCTTTTACTGGCTGTGGATAGGAGGAGAGAGAGAAGGAGAAAGCAATGTGTGAATGAGCACACATTTGGTTTTTGATACTGATTATAGTTGTAAGGAATTGACCACACAACGGAACAGAGAAACTGGTTTGGCTATGTCAACATAAGTCTAATCAAAGTCATTTATGCCAGCCACCTTACCTTTTGTGTGTAATAGTCACATTACCCCATAACAATGATGTACCTTCATAAAGGTGATTCAGAGTGTTTCTAAGTTTTGATTAGAGCAGTAATTGATTGATCTATCTAGGCGCCAGCCTTTGCAATTTTTCTTTCTTTCTTTCTTTCTTTTCTTTGAGATGGAGTCTCCCTCTGTTGCCCAGGCTGGAGTGTAGTGGCACAATCTTGGCTCACTGCAACCTCCTCCTCCCGGGTTCAGGCAATTCTTCTGCCTCAGTCTCCCAGGTAGCTAGAACTACAGGCATGTGCCACCACACCCAGCTAATTTTTGTATATTTAGTAGAGACGGGGTTTCACCATGTTGGCCAGGCTGGTCTCGAACTCCTGACCTCATGATCCACCTGCCTCAGCCTCCCAAAGTGCTGGGGTTATAGGCATGAGCCACCGCACCCAGCTCAGCCTTTGCAATTTCTACCTTAAGTTATATAGTCCTCTATTCTCAACTTTAACAGATGAGCAACACCATTGCTTTTAAACTATTTGATAGAATGGGGTTTGAGTTGTGTGTGTGAGAGCAGGTTGCGTGCGAGTATATGTGTATCTATTTACTCAGTATTTCCCCTGATAACTTTCTGTTATCTGAGCAGTTGCTATAGAGCTTTCTTTTTCCTGGGTTTGGAATTTGATTTTTCTTTTTTGAAGGCTGTAAATTCTACCTTTTCCCTTACATACACATATATATGTAGATACCCTCCCAATAATCCTAATTAGATCCTACAATTCATAAATTATGTTGCCACAACAGCTCAGTTTAGACATATATATATAAGAAATTTGTCAAGTTAACAGAACTTTGAGCCCACTGTCTTTCACAGGACGTGCAATCACCTGGGAACCACCCTACCAGAAGTGAAAGTGACACTCTCTCGCTTCTGTTTCAAGTTCTGTTGCTATTGCTTGGAGCAGTCTGATTCGCTACCTGAAAGATGGTGTTTCAATCAGTCATGGTGAACGAGAGGAGAATATTTAGTGCATAACTGGAGTTGAGTGAAAGACAATATTGTAAATAAATGAATGATGTTTTATCATTTCAGAAAAATACAGTGATAACTTTAAAATCATTAGGCAGTATTAGGATATCCTATGGAACTGTATTTTATATCCAACTCTGAATAACACGTAGGTAGCAAATAAATTGCAAAGATTGATTTATGGTCATTTTTAAATTTGATTACCCATTTAAATCCAGCAGCCAAGTGGTTTCAGCAGACTTTCTACTTGAGGTGAAAATGATAACACTACAAACATATGGCAGAGCTCCGTACAGGCATTTCACTCACACAGGAGTTTATGTTTTCGAGGATGTAGGGAAAGATTTTCCAAGTGTGAAAACTAAATATATACAAAAGCAATCCATTTTGTTATTAGTTAAATAAAATGTGTCTTTAAATATGGAATTCTTTGAAAAACTCACTTCATCGTCCAAAATTGTGGAGACTATTTCACTATTTTAATCAAAAATGGAATAGTCATTACAGTTCCCCAAGGGATTTTCTGACCGGCCCGGGCAAGGAGTTCACTTGTAGAGTGTAGTTAGTGAAAACATCCAGTGGCCAAGCCTCATCAATAACTGTATCCGAAAGGAGACACTGCTTGGGGAGTACCCAGAGAAAACACCAAGCTTTCCTGGCTTCCCGGCCCTCCCTCTCCCCATTAGTCTTTGGGGCGCATACATAAGTGTTGTGTGAAGTCTCTTGGGGTTTAGAAGATCTTGCACTCATTGATGGAGAAGAGTCTCCTTCTGTTTCGTCTCCTGGCCTGGTTGACGGCAGTTCGGACTGCGCACTCAAACACCTGCTGTACCCCCCGGTTGCTAAGGGCTGAGCACTCCAGGTAACCCTTGGCTCTGACATCCTGGGCCAGTTTCTTCCCTTCCATGGCATTGATGCAGGAGGCCCTGTGGGGCCCCATCTCCCGCTGGTCAGTCTGGGTGGCCACCACCAGCACAGGGGTACAGGGCAAGTTGCTCCTGATTTCACCAATCCACTTGTTCTTCAAGTTCAGGAATGAGTTATGGTTGGCCACAGAGTAGCACATCAGCACCACGTCTGCCTGCTGGTAGGACAGGGGCCGGATGCTTCTGAAGGCGTCATTGCCGGCTGTGTCCCAGAGGCCCAGGCTGATCTGGATGCCATCCATGAAGACGTCCACCCCCGTGTTCTCATACACTGTGGGCTTGTAGGCCTCCGGGAAGGTCTCAGAGGTGAAGCGCACCAACAGAGAGGTTTTCCCCACAGCAGAGTCGCCCACCAACACGCACTTGATGGAACTCAGCATCTTCCCAGCCTGCTGTCCTACTCGCAAGTCCAGAATCCCAGGGAAAAGAGCCCTCAGTGGGCGGCTGCAGCACACGCCATTCAGCAAGGGGAAGGCAAGCCAGGTAGGTCTGTGTCCTCAGGACCTCTGCCGGCGATTTGCAGAATGTTACTTCTCGCCGCCCATCCAAGCACCGTCTACTTTGAAAACCTCCAAAGCCTAGTCTTCAACTGGAACAGAAAGAGAAGGGGGAAAATGAAGTCTTTCTTTCTTGCCTTTTTTGAAGATAAGGGGCTTCCTCATTGGCAAACAGATTAAATGTGGGGCAATTTCTGTATAGCCAACCAACCCCACTTGTGCAATCTACTCTTCCCCTCTCAGGGAGAGCTTAGATCTGTCTTCGCCCAACACGCGCACGCGCGCACACACACACACACACACACACACACAACGCCTCCCGGTCAAGAAACAGAAGCTGACTTTATCTCTAAAATCATTCAAGCGCTAAAAAACACAAGCAACTGCTCTGATTGCAACATGAAAAAGACCTCGGTAGCAACCTGGTGTGTGAAGGAGACGTTTCCAAAAGGTCTCTGTCGGCTTCTACTCCAAGAAGTGGCAAAGGCCCCTGAGAGCGTTCTCCACGGCTTCAGCTTCTGATGGATCTAGCCACCTTGGAAACTGCAAGAAATGAGAATGTTATGAGTGACAGATACTTTATGCATTTCTTTTTGTTTATTGACTAATCACACAGTCCTTGGTTTATGGGAATACGTGTTGTAATAGGGGAAAAGAAATTACTAGAACTCGAAAAATTTGCTGTGGTTTTTCCCTTGAGGTTTTTCCAAAAACTGGTAAGAGATGCAGCAGACTGGCCTTAGAGTTATCTGCATCTGAAATCAGGCACTGTCACCTACACATGGCTTTGAGCACACTGCTTGAACTCCACGCCTCGGCTTACACATCTGCAAGATTGTGATAAATTTAGGAACCACTTCTCAGAGATGCTGTGAGGATCAAGTTATTTCTTTCTTTTAACATTTTTGGATGGCCATCTGTGTATCCCGAACTCCACTAGGCCCCTAGTCAAACAAAATAACTTGCATGAAAGCAACCATATTCAGTGCCTGTCACTTAAACAGGACTGCATAAATGGAACAATCTGAATTTCATGAAAGGCCAAATAAATTCTCGTTCAGTGCAGTGGGAAAACTCCAGGCAATGAGCTCTGCCTTGGAGACACTGTTGGGTCTGCTGCGGCACGATATCACAAAGCCAGCCCAGCTCCAGACAAAGGAAAAGTCTTTCAGACCAAAATTCAGAGTAAAGGTTATTACTGCGATCTGGGCCTATAAACTCCCCTCCTTGGTGAGCTTCCTGACATGTGTCATGCAAGGCAATACAAAGCAAACTACAAGTCTGATTTAAGACATAATTTTTAAGTAACTTCTCTAAATCCTGGCATTCCTTTCCAAAACATTTTTTTTTCTTTTTCTTTTTCTTTTTCTTTTTTCGGAGACAGGATCTCACTCTGTCGCCCATGCTGGAGTGCAGTGGTGTCATCACGGCTCACTGCAGCCTGGACCTCCTGGGCTCAGGTGATCCTCCCACCTCAGCCTCCTGAGTAGCTGGGACTACATGTGTGTGCCACCACACCTGGCTAATTTCTTGCTTTCTTTGTAGAGATACAGTCTCACTATGTTGCCCAGGCTGGTCATGAACTCCTGGCCTCACAGATCCTCCTGTCTCAGCCTCCCAAAGTGTTGGGATTATAGGCGTGAGCCACCACGCCCGGTAGCCAAGACATTTTTATCCTTGTCAACCCACGGTCTCTGTTGTTTAATTATACCTAACAGCCTTTGCAAATGAGTTAGCCAAATAAATAATTCACATGATATTCACATATTCATGTTTTTAATGAATATGTGAATATATTCATTAAAATATATTTTAAATATTTTTTACTTAAAAATTCACATGTAAGCCAGGTGACCTTGGCCAAATTACTTAACCTCTCTGAACCTTGATTTTCTCATAGAAATGAAAATAAGAAAAGGACTTTCTTCATGTGATTATTGTAAGGATTCAGAATGTGAAGAGTCTGATTTAGCACAAAGCCTGGCATCTGGGAATCACAGGAGGCCATCAAGTTATCCATTTCACTACTATCTGAAACACCAAATACTGAATGTCCATAGTGGAGGGACCACTTTGCCAAATGTTTACCTGGACTCTTTCTCCAGACTGACACCAGGTTACTGTCACACACCATGGTCATGGACCCCATTTGAGACTAGACCTTTGAGGAAGGACTCCTTGAGGGCTCCATAGGCTTTAGTTAGACATTAGATCCTTAGACCAAGTGGCAACTTAAATATATGCAAGTGGCAACTTAAATATATGCATTTGTGACTTAGTCCAGAGCCAAGAACTCAAGATATTTTTACATTTTTTAAATTTAATTTAATTATCTTATTTTTTATAAATGCAGTTGGGCGTCTCATTATATTGCTCAGGCTGGTCTCAAACTCCGGAGTTAAGTGATCCTCCCACCTCAGCCTCCCAAAGTGCTGGGATTACAGGCATGAGCCACCACGCCTGGCCTTAAGTTTTTGGGGTTTTTTTTGGAGCGCAATTATTGCATTGTGTGTTTTAATATTTCATTTTTGAGAATTTAAATGAGCATTTAAATATCAAATATTGTGCTATTATTTATTATTATTATTATTATTATTTTTGCCTATTTCCTCCATATTTTATTTATTTATTTATTTATTTTTTGGCCTTAAGTTTTATTTGACCCCAGTGTAGCAGGGCCAGAATTAAGAAAAATGTACACGCTTCAGGCATTTATTTATTTATTTATCTTAATTTAATTTTTTTGAAATGGAGTTTTGCTCTGTTGCCCAGGCTAGACTGCAGTGGCTCGATCTCAGTTCACTGCAACCTCCGCCTCTCAGGTTCAAGCAATTCTTATGCCTCAGTCTCCTGAGTAGCTGGGACTACAGGCATGCACCATCACACCCAGCTAATTTTTGTATTTTTAGTACAGACAGGGTTTTACCATGTTGCCAAGGTTGGTCTTGAACTCCTGACCTCAAATGATCCACCCGCCTAGGCCTCCCAAAGTGCTGGGATTACAGGCATGAGTCACCATACCCAACCACTGGCCACCTTTATTTATTTTTTGAGACAGTCTTGCTCTATCTCCCATGCTGGAGACAGAGTACGATGGTGGCTCACTGCAGCCTCCACCTCCCAGGCTCAAGTGATCTTCCCAGCTCAGCCTCCCAAGTAGCTAGGACTACCAGCACTCACCACTGTGATCGGCTACATTTGTTTAGTTTGTATAGAGACAAGGTCTCACTATGTTGCTGAGGCTGGTCCTGAACTCCTGGGCTCAAGTGATACTCTTGCCTCAGCCTCCCAAAGTGTTGGAATTATAGGCATGAGTCACCACACCCAGTCCTTTCGGTTATTTAAATAAACTCTCCAACAAACTGACTGAGCTAAAGCCAAATTTCCTGAGTGAATATCTGCAAAAGGAAATTAATAAGGCATAATTGTTAAGGTCATGGGCTTCAAAGTCAGGTAAACCTGGCATTGAATCCGAGCTGCCCAACCGACTACCTATGTGACGAACTTGGAAGATTTTCTAACCTCCTTAAGCCTCAGTTTCCTCCTCTGTAAAATCAGTGTAACAATATTATATCTGCACCACAGGTTGTTGAGAGTATTTAAGTGTGCTTAAAGCTTAGAGTGCAAAATTCTTTTTTTTTTTTTTTTTGGAGACCTGAGTCTCGCTCTGTCGCTCAGGCTGGCGTGCAGTGGTGTGATCTCGACTCACTGCAACCTCCGCCTCCCAGGTTCAAGTGATTCTGCTGCCTCAACCTCCTGAGTAGCTGTGATTACAGGCGCCCACTACCGTGCCTGGCTAATTTTTGTATTTTTAGTGGAGATGGGGTTTCACCATGCTGGCCAGGCTGCTCTCAAACTCCTGGGCTCAAGTGATCTGCCTGTCTCAGCCTCCCAAAGTGCTGGGATTACAGGCATGAGCCACTGTGCCTGGCCTAGAGTGCAAAATTCTTAGCAGGTGCATAATATAAACATACTGTATGTACATAGTAAACACTCTAAGTAGTCCCTATTAATAATATTCTGAAATAACAATTACTAAATATAATGATAAACAGTTATTAACGCTAAGTAGGGAATTTAAAGTAGCACAAAAGAGGTTTCTCCAACAAAGGGTGAAACACACCCAGACATAGCTACAAAAAGAGAGAGAGAAAGAGACTCCTGTCTAAGCTTTGCCACCCAGCGAGTCAGAAAGGTGAAAACATCTCTGTTCAATCAAGTGACCCTCAGTGCCAGCCAGTTCTGACCCCAAGTGGCTCATCAAGTCAGCTTTCAGGGCCTCAGTTTCATAAACTGTAAAGTAGTTCTTGATAGTTTTATTAAAACTGAAGCCAAAGTACCTGCTGCAGTGAATACAAAACATAAACCATTGCATTACTGTGCGGCAGTAAAGATGGATGATAAGCCTTGAGGACAGGAGGAGCCTTGGAAGATGCCTAAATATGGAGCTGGGGGAGGAGGGGAAGTAGGAGAGGAGCTGCGGTCCGAGGCAGAGCCATACCCTATATGGACATGACAGATAATCTTCAGAATGGGTCACGTGTGTCCAGGAGTGAGCCGCCTCGAGTTACATCATCAGCATGTGAGTCTGATGGGCTTGATTTCAGCGAATTTCTCCAAAAGAAATTCTCCCTAGAAGGGCTTCTGGGTGAAAAAAGTGAGTCTTCCATGGTATTTCCCAAGTGGCTAACTGGCAAGAGTGGCCCAAGTACGTCTCTTCGTACGGAAGAGTTACAAGAGCGTCATGGGTGACGACACTGAGTGGCCCTCCAGGCCGTTCTTCTCAGGCCTTGAATCAGACAGAATCAATGAGCCTTCACCTCCAGAGCCTGCGGGGTCTCCATAATGTGATGCTCTTGCCCTTTTTCTCTTTCTACCATTTTCACAGAAAAGGATCCCTCAGCAGGCCTCCAGGGTTCACACGCACAGACACAGGGAGGGAAGGGAGGCTTCCTGTTGCAAAAGCAACAGGGTTGGGCCTTTCTGCCCACTCTGGCAAAGAGACCAAGATACACACAAGTGAGGGATTAGGGGAAGAGACATCCTAACCCATTTCCTCCTCCGGAGAACTGAGGGCTGTCCAGTAGGAAATCCTGGTTTCCTTTTGGACTCAGTTCTAACGGCCGTGCTAACAGACACCCATTCTCCACCTGACGCCCTCCGCAGGCTCGCCCCGTGCCATCCTACTGGCTGGAAAGACCAGGTCTTCACTCAGCCCCCAACTCACACGCCTTCCGGAAAGCCTTCCTTGAGCACCAGCGCTCCCCAGCCCCTGCCAGATCAGATGCCCCCTGCTGTGTTCCCACAATACCTCTGTGCACATTTGACACAGAAACTACCACTCCGCCGAAATGGCTCGTCTTCTCAGTCGTAAAATGGAATGAGATCTGCCCTGCCTTCTTCACTGGGAGCTCATAAGGATCAGGTGGAAATGGTAACAATACAGAAATCATTTCGGTTTGTACTTTTACAATACTTTGTATATTTGGAAATGCTCTCTTGTTGGTTTTGCGAGAAAGTCTTTTTATAACAATACAGCATAATATAGAGCTAAAGTGAAATTATGACTATTATTAACTGATTGTTATTATTGCAGGTTTGAAGTTAGCTGGGCTTTGGTGGAGGTAGCTCACTTCAAAATGCTGATGGAATCCTCAGCTGTCTTTTTTAAAAAATATGAGTCCATCACCAGTTGGGGATGGCCTATCAATTACAGACAATATATCTAAATGTCATCCTCCTCGAGGAGCTTTGGACAAAGGACCTGTGCTGGTAGCAGCCGATTCATTCATTAAGGAAATTGATTCCACCATGAATCTAACACAATTAAATGGCCACGCTCCTCAGCAACCTCTAGCAATCTCTAGCCAGCACCTTCAATAGCGCCTTCCTAGCCTAGCAGGGACATCACAGCAAAAGGCAGACTTTCTCAGGATGGGTGAGCCCATGGGAGAGACTCCCCAACTGGGAAGTGGGGCTGAGTGCTTTGTTCCTTTACGGAGTCTTGCTGTGTCCCCCAGGCTTGTATGCAGTGGCATGATATTGGCTTACTGCCGCCTCCGCCTCCTGGGTTCAAGTGATTCTCCTGCCTCAGTCTCCTGAGTAGCTGAGATTACAGGCATCCATCACCACGCGCAGCTAGTTTTTTGTATTTGTAGTAGAGAAGGGGTTTCGCCATGTTGGCCAGGCTGGTCTCAAACGCCTGACCTCAGGTGATCCACCCACCTCAGCCTCCCAAAGTGCTGGGATTACGGGCGTGAGCCACTGCTCCAGGTTGTAGCCAGCTCTTCAGTTTAGGTCTGCACTCCTATTCTCTTCCTACAAATAAACCAGTTCTTGATTTTTTTTTTCTTTTTTTTTTTGAGACAAAGTTTCACTCTTTTTGCCCAGGCTGGAATGCAATGGCATGATCTCACTGCAACTTCACCTCCCGGATTCAAGCGATTCTCCTGCCTCAGCCACCTGAGTAGCTGAGATTACAAGGTGCATGCCACCAAGCCCGTCTAATTTTGTATTTTTAGTAGAGACAGGGTTTCACCATGTTGGTCAGGCTGGTCTCAAACTCCTGACCTCAGGTGACTCGCCCACCTCGGCCTCCCAAAGTCCTCAGATTACAGGTGTGAGCCACCACGCCTGGCTCAGCACTTGATGTTTTAAAGGACATCTGTTGCTTCCTGATCTGGATGCTGGTTTCACAAGTGTGTGCAGTTTGTGAAAATCCACCAAGCTCTATATCCATGAGGTGTTCACTTAGATAAAACTTCAATAAAAAACATTTTTAAAAATAAGGTTACCACCTTTGCGGTGAACATCTTCTCAAGTGGTATTTTATAAGTTTTACTTGCAAGAGTTTATTTCACTAATCTGAATCCTATCTTAATAATTCCCCCTACTGTGTTGCTAATTGCTACAAATAATCACTAAATTTTCTCTCAAAATCACAAAAAGAAATCATTTTTAAGTCAGTGTATTTTCATACGTAGATCATCTCTGTTTGAAACAGATTTTGTTCTGAAAGTTTGTTTGCAAGATGCTGGTTTGCTTGGCCAGGCACAGTGTCTCACGCTTGTAATCCCAGTGCTTTGGGAGGCTGATGTAGAAGGATCACTTGAGGCCAGGAATTCAATGCCAGCCTGGGCAACATAGCAAGACCCTGTTTCTATTAAAAGAAAAAAAAAAAAGATGCTGGTTTGCAACTTTTAACATAAGTTCACCAGAATAAAAAATGTTAAGCAGTATTTATATTCCTAAGCCTGAAGCATATTAAACCCCTTTATAGTTGAATTCAAACAAAACATTGCCAAGTCCTGAAGCCTTTTATTAGTTCAACATATTAAACTCTGAAACCTCTCTGAGCCATGTGTCCTGCCCTCTGACTCCCAACCACGCCGGAACCGTGGTCCCCTTCCCCTCCTCTGGTCCAGCAACTCTGCCGTGACTGGTCTCTTCCACTCCAGGAGCACGATCAAGGAATCATTGCCTGAGGTCCAGAGTTCTTAGCCCGGTTCAATTTCAGAGTCAAATACAAGATTAGCCAGCTAGACAACTGCCCAAAGCACCCTTAGCACCTCATCTCAAAACTAAAGTGATGGGGAAATGCATTTCCTACTACTTTTCTCAAAATAATTGGAATACCCTGAAAAACTGCTTGGAGTTGAGGGTGCAACCCCAAGAGGTACACTCAGGGAAGGACACGTGGTCTCTGAACTTCTTTTAGGGAATGTGGATCTTGTTTACCAAAGGACTCGTGTTTTCTCAGTTGAGTATCCATTTTTGGGGCCTGAGCTGAACTATTCTAGGAAAAAGAGAGCAAAAAGGCAAATCATGCCTATCTAATCATTCTATAATGTCACGATGCTATAAATTAAAGGTTGTCAAACTATGGTTCATCCATGGCTGAACCCAGCCCGCCACCTGTTTTTGTATGGGCCATAAGTTGAGAATGGTTTTTACATTTTATTTTATTTTATTTGAGAGGGAGTTTCACTCTGTCGCCCAAGCTGGAGTGCAGTGGCATGATCTCCGCTCACTGCAACCTCCGCCTCCCAGGTTCAAGCGATTCTCCTGCCTCAGCCTCCCAAGTAGCTGGGATTACAGGGGGGTTTTTACATTTTTTAATGGTTGAAAAAAATCCAAAGGAGGAGAATATTTTATGACACGTGAAAATTACATGAAATTCAAATTTCAGGGTTCATAAATAGCATTTTATTGGAACACGGTCATGCCCATTCATTGACATGTTGCCTATGACTGCTTTCTTGCTGCAACATAAAGTTGCAACCAAGCCTAAAATATTTTCAATTTGGTCTTTACACAGAAAAGTTTGCCAACCCCTACTAGACAGAAAGGTAGTTCAGAGTCAGAAGGGGCACGTAGACCTGGGGTCTGGCAGGCTTGGTTTGGCTCTAATGTCTGCCACTTAAATGCATGACCTTGGGGCAATTCCTTAACCTCTCTGAGCTTCGGGTCCTTTGACAACAAAGTCAACTATGCATAATGTCTACAGCACGACTGACTCCGGAACCATACTGCCTTTCAGCCCCACTGGCTATGTGATCTCATGAAGGTCACTTAACTTCTCTAAGCTCCTCTTCCCTAATTGTAAATAGGCAATAAGAATGGTACCTACCTGGTGTGAGTTGGTTGATGGTATTATTTTTCGTAATAAAAATAAAAATAAAATAATGGTACCTACCTTACAAGGTAGTTGTACAGAATTTAAAAGGGTAGTGCACGTAAACCACATTGCATAGTGCCTGGCACAGAGTGAGTACTGTAGAAGTATTTACCATTATTATCATTTACCTTGAGGGGTTGTCGTAAGATGGTTCTGAGCTAGTGTATGTCATGAGCTGAAAACAGTGCCTGGAACAAAACAGGCACTAGCAAATAGTAGCTGCTATGATGATGATGATATGAACCAGTACTATAGACACACAGGAGAGGGAGCATTAATTCTCGAGATGGGAGAAAGGAGTGGTGATTCGGGAGCCCTGCATTTGAAAAGTGACGGCTGATCTGTAGGATGAGTAAGATTTTGATGAGCAAAAGAGAAGAAAGCCTTTGTGGGTGGGGAGAAGCCTGTACAAAGGCCCAGGGGCATGAAAATGCATGTCTGATTTGGGGAAATAGAAGAAGTTCAGGGAGGTTGCACTGTGGGCTGCTCAGTGGGGAGCAGGACAGGGCCAGTGGAGGGATTATGGGAGATGAGCCTGTGATTCAACACAATCCAAGATTGCCTTCTGCTCATCAGCAGCCACAGCACACTATTAGCTCCAACTGATTCCAATTAAAATTGGTTAACAGCCAATTAAAATCCCTGGGTCTTTGGCACATAAAACTGTTACTAGCCAGGCACAGTGGCTCCTGCCTATAATCCCAGCACTTTGGGAAGCCAAGGCAGGAGGATCACCTGAACCCAGGAGTTCAAGACCAGCCTGGGCAACATGGTGAGACCTCCCCCACCGCCAAAGTCTACATTAAAAAAAAAATTAGCTAGGCATGGTGGAGCACACCTGTAGTCCCAGCTACTTGGGAAGCTGAGGCAGGAGGATTACTTGAGCCCAGGAAGCTGAAGCTGCAGTGAGCCATTATCACGCCACTGCACTCCAGCCTGGGTGACAAAGCGAGACCCTGTCTCAAAAAATAAAAAAACTGTTACCAATCCACTCTCTTTTAACTTAAATGTTACTAGCCTCTTTGAGCACCTACTCTGTGTCAGGCATTGAAGTCAAGTTAAAGAAGACACAGTTTCTGCCTTCAAAAAACTTACAGTCTAATGGCAACACTAGACATCAACTTCAGCGTGGATCTAAGGTAGGAACAAATCAAGTGCCAAGAAAGGGAAAAAGTGCTACTTGCAACTAGCAGGAATCAAGGAAGGCTTTGTGGAGGCTGTGATATTAGAACATGACCCTTAAAACCACTGAGCTTGAGATGCACAGAGAAGAAAGAGAAACATGAGCAATGAAGGAAAAATCTGGGGCACCTAGAAGGGGGAGAGGCAGCTCAGTTGGGCTAAAAGGCAGAGCCCAAAATGGGAGCTCAAGCTGGGCTGTAGGAAACTCATTCTTGTGGCTGGTTAGGCTGGACTGCAAGCGGGAAAGATCAAAGAGGCAAGTGGGAGGCTCCTGCCGTTGGGATCAAGGATGGCTTTATCCAGAGCAGATGCTGTGAGACAAGAAACGGGGAGGGGGCCCCAGCAACACCCACAAGGTGGAACTGACGTGCAGGCCTGAAACAAGGTGATTCCGAGGCTGTATAGGCCTGGGGGCCTGGGAGAAGCTGCTGGCAAACCCAGGCAGCACCAGAGGAGAAAGACGGATCTGTGAGATCCATGAAGAGGTGGGTGTTTCCCACCGGGGGGCCTGCTGAAGAGACACAGCGCTTTCAGGAGAGCCACCGGGCTGCCGCCAATGACAAGGCTATCGTTTACCGAATAAAGGGGAAGAGAAGTG